GGCTTCTCCCCTTGGGAGCATGAGGGGCTTTCAGGGTAGGTGGGAGGGGGTTCTGGCGGGACTTGTGGAGGGGCTGATTGCGGGGTAGGGGCTGGCGGAGACGGAGCTCCGTACATCTTTTGGTTCTGCCGCGGCGGTTCCGGGCCTCTGGGTCGGCACCCTCACGAGTGCTCGGCTCGGTGTCCCAGTTTTTTCTCTTTGAAGATGGCTATTTTGAGCCCCACCTGGACAGAGCTAGGAACAGCCAGTTCCTTCCTGTGCTATGCCGCCCACCTGGACCCCTCCCACCTGGGACCTGCTCAGGGAATGGGACCCAGGGATCCGGGAAATGGGCAGCAGTGGGTGACACATGCTGGGCACTGGGCACACGGGAGGACCCTCTGGCGATGGTGGAGTGCACCAGACTTGGAAAGGAGATTGGCAGGGGTGGGGTGGGCAGGTGCTCCCGGGTCAGGCCCTCCTAGGAAAGCAGCAGCGTCAGGAAGAAACGAGCTGTTCCTATGCTCTTAGAAGACAAAACACTAAGGTTTTATTTATTCTTGTTTTCTGTTTCACCCTGGATCCTAAGACTCATTCTACTTATTTCCTCTCCTGTTTTTGCAAAAGTGCAAACTGAGGCAGGGGACAGGCTGGCTGGGGTACCTGTGTCTAGAAGGCAAATGTAGTGGGAGAGGGGAAGGCACACAAGATTTGGAGTCAAAGACCTCTCGGTTCAAGGCTTACCTCAGTGTTGAATGGGGGAGGGGGGCCATTGGCCAAGTTCTTTCCCCTTTTTGGGCCTCAGCTTTCTCATCTATAAAATGGGAAAGGACCTGCCTATCTTGCAGGTTTGCTGGGAGATCAGATGTGTCCAAGAGTTTAGTAAAATGGAATGCACTGGACACTCTTCACCCCTGCCGATGGTCCCCTTCCCTCCTCCCTGCCTTCACAAGGTGTGGGCTAGTCTATAGGGATCTCCTCTGAAGGGAGTGCTTAGCTTGGCTATCGACTTGAGGTCTCTATTATGAGAATTTACAAAAGGCATACTTTCCCCCAGGTGGCTGCAGGTCCACACAGCTGAGCAAGTGAAACGTGAGCTAGATTACAGCTCCCACCTACCCTCAGGTGGGTGCCCTTATACAGGGCACGTCTGCACAGCTGCACCTGGCAACCCTTCCCACAGGCCCCAGCATCCCTGAGAGACACATATCCACACACACACTCCCAAGGTCTTTCCTATGAAGCCTACATCCTACACCGTCTCCAGTTCATTTTCTTTCCTGCTTCGTCTTTACTTCAGGGCCTTTGGGTATTCAAGCCCCAAAGCCTATGCTGTACTAGGAAGCACGAAGCAATGAATGCTACCATTGAAGAGTGACTCCTTGGAGTTAGAAGTGCCCTCACCAAGCTCCCAAGGACAGGAGTTACTGAGCCACTAACCGCATATGTCAAGAACTTTATCAGATCACTTGTGTGAGGGCCAAGAATGGAATTATCTGCACACGCGGGCAGCATTGCTGCTCACAAACTATGTTCACACCTGCTATCACAGAGCATGCTCACAGCAAGCCTGTGAAGCCGGTCTGCTCCCATTTACACAGAGGAAGTCATGGCTCTGAGAAGTTAGGGTGCTTGCCCAAGGTTTCACAGCATGTAAGCGGTGGACTCAGGACCAGAGCTCAGGCTGTTGTCTCTACTCCACCACCACTGAGGAACAAAATTGCTGATCCACAGTTCTGCCAAAACCCTCCTGGAATTGTTGCTCTCCACCTCTATCCTTAGCAGCTCCTGACTCTCTCCTTCCTCTCTGTAACCAGCCTCCAAGTAGAAAGGAAGGAGCTGCTTTCTTTTTTCCTCTGATTTCACTGGAGAAGGAAGCTACCTCAAAGACCCAACTGTTCTGGCCTACTCAGTGAGGGAGGGTCTCTAGCGAATCCAGAGGTCCAGTGTGGGAGCTGACCCTTGAGTGAGTCAGAGGCCGGGAAAGGGGTCAGGGAGCTATTCCCTTTCCTGCCCAGATGGCAGCTTAGACAATAGCCATCATGGAGGACATTAAGACGGAAAGTCAGTGTCTGAGGGGCAGGCCAAGACCCTGGAATACCCACAGGAAAATGACACAAAATGGAGGCTGAGGGAAACTCAGAGACACCTCCCCCTCAACACTCCCTGTGTTCCTCGGGTGCTGAGGTGCCAAGGGGGAAGTAAAGTAGTGAGCCCAGCAGACAGGGCTGTAGGTCCCTTCAACCATAACATTTCTGCTTGTATCCGTAGTAGATGTGTGCAAGCTTCTACTTGAGAGTCTGGTGCTTACAAAGATAAATAAATTAATAAGATTGACGAATCACTAGCCTAATCCAATGGTTCTCAAAGTGTGGATCCCGGACCAGCAGCATCAGCATCACCCAGGAACTTGTTAGACATGTACATTCTCAGGCCCCACCCCATGCCTACTGAATGGAAAGTCTGGAGGCAGGCGGCAACAAAGTGGGCTTTAACAAGCCCTCCAGGTCACTCAGGGGCAGGCTGGAGCTTGAGAACCGATTACTTAGTCCAAGTGTGTTGAAAAACCCAGGAGTGAGTCAAGGGCAGGACTGGAAAGAGAACTCATGCCTCCCAGTCCGGGAGGGCCGGGCGTCTGGAGGTGCGCTCTCCCCTAAACCCTTCTCTCCCGGCCCCTCTGCCTCCCCTCCTAGGCGCCATGCTGCCGCTCTTGCTGAGCCTGCTGGGCCCGGCCGCCTGCTGGGCTCTGGGCCCGGCCCGGGCCTCATCGGAGCTGCGCTCGGCCTTCTCGGCGGCGCGCACTAGTCCCTTGGAGGGCACGTCGGAGATGGCAGTGACCTTCGACAAGGTGTACGTGAACATCGGCGGTGACTTCGACGCGGCCACGGGCCAGTTCCGCTGCCGCGTCCCGGGCGCCTACTTCTTCTCCTTCACCGCGGGCAAGGCTCCGCACAAGAGTCTGTCGGTGATGCTGGTGCGCAACCGCGACGAGGTGCAGGCGCTGGCCTTCGACGAGCAGCGGCGGCACGGCGCGCGACGTTCCGCCAGCCAGAGCGCCATGCTGCAGCTCGACTACGGTGACACGGTGTGGCTGCGGCTGCACGGCGCGCCACAGTACGCACTCGGCGCCCCGGGTGCCACTTTCAGCGGCTACCTGGTGTACGCCGACGCCGACGCGCCTGCGCGCAGCCCGCCCGCGCCCCCGGAGCCTCGCTCGGCCTTCTCAGCGGCGCGCACGCGCAGCCTGGTGGGCTCCGACGCAGGCTCCGGGCCGCGGCATCAGCCGTTGGCTTTCGACACGGAGCTCGTCAACATCGGCGGCGACTTCGACGCGGCAGCCGGCGTGTTCCGCTGTCGCCTGCCCGGCGCCTACTTCTTCTCATTCACGCTGGGCAAGCTGCCGCGCAAGACGCTGTCGGTGAAACTGATGAAGAACCGCGACGAGGTGCAGGCCATGATTTACGACGATGGCGCGTCGCGGCGCCGTGAGATGCAGAGCCAGAGCGTAATGCTGGCGCTGCAGCGCGGCGACGCCGTCTGGCTGCTCAGCCACGACCACGACGGCTACGGCGCCTACAGCAACCATGGCAAGTACATCACCTTCTCCGGCTTCTTGGTCTACCCCGACCCTGCCGCCAACCCGCCGGGCCTCGGGCCCCCGGAGCTCTGAGCCCCGGGCGGAGAGGAGCCCGGAGCGGCCCGGGGGCTTGCATGCCGAGCCCGGGCCCGAACGTCCCGCCGACGCGAGCATGACGGCCTGCCCAGCGCCGCTGGACTCTACCAATAAAGTGGGCCTGCGCCGGCGCCTGTCTCCCGAGGGTCCCGCGCTCTGTCTTGATTGCGCCGCTTCCGGCCCGGGGTGGCACTGACTGGCGTAGGTCCCCGGGGGGTCGGAGGGCAGAGGGTAGGGTTCGGTTAGGCCCCGGGAGGGTGAGGACGTGGGAATTTGCTTGAGTCCTACTCGCCTAATCCATTTCCAGTCAGTTTTGTCTGACCTTCTGCTTGCTTACCCTCCTGTGGATCTGACTCCTCATTTGACCTACGACCTTATTCTTAGAGCTGTGCTAATTCCTTTCTGTGATGAGTGCCAACACCCCGCGACCCCACTGCACTGGGGGTGTGGGATTGAAGGAAACAGCACATTCCTTCTTCCATAAGGGAGTGGGGATGTGGAGGAGGAGTTGATCCCTAGTGGCGCTGACTCCTGCCCTCCCAGGATGGAAGGGTGATTTGCTCAGGGCAGGAGATAGACAGCTTACTCTGACAAAGAAGGACAGAGCTCCAGGAGGCCAGAACAGAGCATTTTATGGAAGAGGTACACATGATCAGGGCTGCACCTACCCCAACCCCCAGCGCGCCTCAGCTTGTCTTCCTATCTCCTCTGCTCCTCCTTCCTTCTCCAGGGTGGTCGTCTGAGCCTTGTTGAGATGGACCAAAAGATATTTCTCACCCGCCCAAAAAGATAATGTTCTTCTACCTGCCTCCCTTCTCCAAAACACAGAACTCCAAAAGTGCAGTCTATTGTAGCCCAGATGGGGAATTTGGAGGTTCAGGGACCCTGGAGTCTTGGTTGGGTGTAAAAGGGACATCCAAATGCGGACTGGGTGCTGAGCACTTACAAGATTCCTGTAGGTTCCACAGGACCTCTCACCATCCACCAGGTAGGAGGTGGAGGGGTTTACCTGATCGTTGCTTGGGGACAGCTTCCCTTTCAGTATCTCTGAAACACATTTTCAGCCCTGACCCCTGACCCCAACACACACACACGCCCCTACACACACACCCCTCAGCTCTGAACCTGTTGCTTGGGACCCAGAGGCCCTGGCTGTCAGCCAAGCAGGGCCCAGAGAACAAGATGTTGGGCGGGGTGGGAGTAGGTGGAGGTCCATGGTGCAAGCCAAGCCCAGAGACTTGAGCATAGTGAGAAGCAGCAAGTGCCAGATGGAAGTCCCTGTCCCAGATAGATCTGGGTCAGAGGGAGTGCTGGGGGGCAAGGGACAATGGCAGGTGGAAGGGGATGGTCAGGGGAAGGGGTCAAGGATCAAGGCCCAGGGCCCCAGTGAGGGTGGCTGATCCTGGGGGCAGAAACCCTTGCATAGGTCCCAGAGTGTTTCCTGTGCCAGAAGGGCAAAGACTAGGGTCCAGCGACCCCTCTCCTCAGCCTCGCCAGCCGCATGGAGCCGGTAGATGCAGGACAGGCCGGTGAGGAGCAGCTGTTCAAACTCCCAAGGGCTGAGAGGAGGCCTCTTGCGCAGACGTTGGAGCTGCTGCAGCCGCTGCTCAGCACCCTCCAAGTCATTGGGCACCCGGTGCTGCAGGAGGAACCTGAGTCGGCGGCCTGGGCGGGTAGACGCCAGCTCTTCATCCTGAATGTGCAGCTGCCCCATGACATCCAGCTCCAGCCCGGCCCAGAGTAGCTGCAAGGGGAGCCGTGTCAGGGGTGGGCTGGGGCCTGGAGTGCAGGGCAGGAGGCAAGAGCAGGGGTGGGGCATGAGCAAGCAGTAGGACCCATGCTGGTTGCCCCCCTCCCACAGCAGGCTCACCCTGAGACATGCCCTTCCCAACCCTGAGCTTAGAGACCTCTGGACACTCCCACCCCCAGTCCCAGGCTGGAAGCAAAGACCTCAAACATGACTTCCGGGGCTGCTGGCTCCTGCAGGCCACCTCCCGTGCTGTCGCTGTCCGTAGGCCGCCCTGGGGCAGCAGAGGGTAGTCAGGCCCCTGCCATGCTCCACCCTGAATACCCCAGCCTCCCAGGGGGGCCCCTCAGCTGCCTGGTAGGGGTCTCTATATGTTTTTCTATCTATAAAAAGACAGGAATGACATTCTGCATGTCCTTATACCAATACACACGTGTGCACACGCATGCACATCGGCATTCACCCTCCCGCACTTAGGTCTTGTGATCCCAAAAGCATCATCCCAAGCCCAGATACTACTGCTGAAAATGCCTAGAACCCCTCCTTCAGCTCCCACAATGCTCGTGGTCCAAGAGTTCCAGGCCAACAGGTCACAAGACCCTTCACCTCCCACCCTTCTCCTTATGATCTGGGGACAGCATAACCCAAAACAGTGTCAGTGACCCTCCCCAAAGGATGAAGACCCCTTTAGGAATCGAATGCTTTCCCTACTCCTTCTCAGGGAAGATCGGGCAGCCCAGGATACCCATTGCAGCTTCCTGCATCCCACACCCTGGGGTGTCTCGTAGCCCTGGAATGAACCATCCCAAGCCCAGTTAAGTCAAGAGGCCCACCTTTGGCCACCACCCAGAATAAGCCCAGGGCCCAACCCTGTCCAGAAGCAGCATTGAGGGAGCCTAGGGCTACTTCCCTTAGCTTTACCTGGACCTTCCTGGTTCTGGGGGTGGGCCCACACCATTATTCTCCCACTGCCAGCACAGGTCAGCCTGTGACTCACCATGCCTGCAGTTCCTACACCCTGCTAGGCTCAGAGAGAGCTAGTTGTAACTGCTATCAGCTGGCAGCCTTCCTTGGCTCCCATGCACCCCACCCTGAGGCCCCCATACCTGCCTGAGGCTGGGTTCCAGCCACCCCAGGGAGGAGGCAAATGGCCACCCCTAACCACGCCAGGAGCTGCAGCATCCCTGCCATGTGCCGCCGCGTCCACCGAGTCTGTCTCTCCCCAGCAGCTCTCTGCTTTCCTGTTTGCCTGCTACACACCATGGCTCCAACTTTCCACTGTAGGCGGCTCAGCTGGTCTTTGCGTGTCAGTCTTCAGTGCTGAACACGGAAGGGCTGGCCATGGCCTCAGTGGCCTCTTTCCATCCCTTGGAAATGGGGAATTTTGGGTTGTTGGCAGCAGGGGCCTGGCGGTCTTGTCAGGCCCTCAGCCTGCTCCTGCCCAGATGGGCGGATGCTTAGTTAATAGAAAAAAGGTGCTTGGTAGCAAACAGCTCTAGCCTGGCCCTCCCAAGAGGTCAGGAAGAGCCCAGGCAGTAACACTACCTTATGATCTCTCCTCACCCCCAAAACATCCTGCAACTGAGGCCCACCCCCAACACCCAGCCCAGCCTCCAGGGAGCCCCTCAGCAGCCAAGAGCATTAGTTGCAGAGCCCGGTCCTCCAACTGCATGGTAGGCTGGCCAGATCCTAGGCCAGTGGGATGGGGAGTACTGTCCCCTGGCAGACAGACAAATCTGCAGCTCCTAAGTGTTTTTTGACCCAGCCTGTGACCTCATCTGCTTGTTAACAACATTAGCAGCTCAGGCCAGAGTCCAGGAAGATTCCCAGACCAGGGCTGATGGGCTGTCAGGCTGCAGCAAGCAGGACGAAGGGTCAAGGCTGAAAATGAGCTGAGGTTCTTCTGGCTCTGGCTGCTGGCTCACAGAGTCCTGTGGATGTCTGGATGGGAAGAGGGTGGGTGGGGGTTTTGCTGGTTCCACTCAGGCCGCTGGATCCATCAGATGCCACCAAACTGTCTGCTGTGACAAGGGGCTTTCTCCAGCAGTTGTTGAGATCCCTCCAGTGCTCAGGAGAGGCTGTGCCACACCAGCCTGAACCCTGTGCACTGCAAGAACTTTCAGTTATAGCTCCAGGCTTCCTCTCAGAAATACCTCCAGGTCTACAGGCTGCCATGTCTATTTAGTCGTAGTCAGACAGACTCCCCACTTTATGCTAGAGTCTCTACAAGAGCAGGGAAGAACCTCTGCCAGCATCTCCCCTCTGCTGAGCCAAAGCATCACTTCTACCCATTACACACAAGACACGGTTAGTCTAGGAAGGACTTTATTTACATGGACACTGAATTATAGATAAGGCGCTTTCTAAGATATACATTCCACATGCCTTCCCTGGAGCTACTTGGCTTCAGGTTTTTTGTCTCCGGCCTCAAGCTTGAGATTCTCAGGGGGCTGGCGGTAGGCAGGGAAAGCCTCCCAGGGGCTGTTTAGGTCGAACTTGCGGAACTCTTGGGCCAATTCCACTGGCTCGGCCACCACCCTCTTCACCTCATCGTCATAGCGTAGCTGCAGGAAGAGAAGACAGGCTTGAGCACTGGTAAGGCCTGGTTACAGCCACTAAGAAGCCACTTTCACGAGGCTACAAGTGACTCCCCCAGACCTTTCCCTCTCTGTCCTTGACTCCTGTCCCAGCCTCTTCCCAGGCTTTGTCAATAAGTCTCCACCCACATCTGTACTGCCCAGCAAGTCACATCCCAGCCAGCTAGTGCTGTGGGATTCCAAAAAGGCACGTCCTGCCGTCATCTGCCAGGCTCCCTGCCCACCATCACCACGTCATGAGCTTCGACTCACTGTCCAGCAGAACTGACTCCTGCTGATCCATCCACACACTCCTGTAAGGTAATGGCAAGCATTTGCCCAGGATTATAGGAAGAGTCAGTGGCTGAAAAGAATAAACCTAAACTGGCAAGCAAACAAGTTCAGGACTTGTGGCCTTGGCATTATCACTGTCAAGCTCTAAGGCACTGAGTAAATTTGGCATGGCTTTTCTTGTTATTGACACGCCCTGGTGGTACAGTAGTTAAAGCATTGTGCTGCTAACCAAAAGGCCAGTGGTTAAAATCCACCAGCTGCTCCGCAGGAGAAAGATACGGCAGTCTGCTTCTCTAAAGATTACAGCCTTGAAACCCTATGTGGCAACTATACTCTGTCCTATGGGTTGCTATAAGTTGGAATGGACTCAGTGGCAGTGGGTTTAGTTTTTTTTCTTGTTATTGGAGAATCAGTTGGATAAGGTAGGGACAATCAGGTGCTGAGGTAAAGAGGCAAACCCGATAAGGGAAACAGCAGGGGTGAGTGAAGGGAGGAAAAGAGGGAAGTAGCTCTGAGCATAGTAGCTTGAGAGAGAAATAGGGGTAGGCAAAACACTAAGAGGAGCATTTAGGTGCTGAAGGGGCAGGGCTGGACTGCCACACGTCTCGACATTTCTAAAAAGTTACTTGGCTAGAAATTTCACGTATGTATACAACAGACCATCTTCCTGCTAACAGAAAACCTGTAGCACGAGTGGCAAAGTAAACCACTGAAATTCTTTATAAGGGCCCTGTAGTCACATGCTACTGGTCCTGCCTCAGTGGCCATTCTCGAGGGCTGAACATTTAGTATCTTGCCCGTCAGCTGCCATCCCAGGGAGCCAAGGCAGGGTAACATGATCCTCCACTTTCAGACCTTTAGGGAGACACTTAAGAAGTGTGTCCTCAAGGCTTGCTTGATCACTACAGTGATCGTTACAATAATGGTTAACATCGATCAAGCATTTAGAACACACCAGCTTTACGAATACATCATTTGATAGTCACTAGAAATCTGTTGGATAAGTAGTATTGTTATTCCCATTTTACAGATAAGGAAACTTAATCACAGGGAAATGAAGTAACTTGGCCCAGATTATAACAGTGAAGCTAGGATTCCAATCCAGAGTCCATGCTCTTAAACCACCACAATCCACAGACCACATCTCCTGCCATGCCCAGGGTCCCCCAGGTTCCCTGCTAGTTTCTCCCTGGGGCTGCTGCCCCAGTTCCAATGCTCCTACCTCAACATAGCCAGACAAGGGGAAGTCCTTCCGGAAAGGATGTCCCTCAAAGCCATAGTCTGTTAGGATCCTTCTTAGGTCAGGGTGGTTAGCAAAGAAGACTCCAAACATGTCCCAGACCTAGAAAAGCGAGGCCCTCAGGTATCCAGTGGTTTCAACCAATTGCACAACTTTGGCCCAGAGGCAGGTCCACCATGCCCAGTAACTCACCTCCCTCTCATACCAGTTGGCTGCCTTGTACACAGAGACAGTAGATTCAATGGGTGTCAGCTCATCTGTATAGGTCTTCACACGGATCCGTGAGTTGAAACGCAGAGAAAGCAGGTTGTAGACAATCTAAGGAGAAGAAACGGAGCTGGAGGGCCAAGATAGCCACAGGCTGAAGGGTCTGGGGTGGGGTCCCTGAGTAGGAGTATCAACAGGGAGGATACAGGGTGGGTTAGGGTTCTACCCTGTGAACCTACCTTCTGCTCTGAAGCTTAAAACCTCAAGATGCTCTTCTATTTACAATTACTTCCAAAGCCTTAAGCCACAGCAATAGCTCTTAACTTGCCTATGTTTGTTAATGCTAATTGCTTTGTCTGGGATATCCCCCTCCCACCCCACTCTCACTGGCCTAATTCCTGGACTCCTGGTCATCCATGAAGATTCAACACAAACATTCTCTCTCCTTTCTCTTCCAAGAAGGCTCAAAGACAGGGCTAAGTGTCCGTTCTGTGTTCTTATAGCATCCCTCTAACATCCTATGTATTATACATTATAATAATCTATTTGTGCATCTTTTTCCCTCACTAGAATAGGGAGACTCCTGGAGGACAGATATTAGTTGTTGTTACTTCTCTCTCGATCCCCAGGGTCTAGAAAACAGGAGATGAGCAGTCAACATCAATAGCTAAATGTATTGAGAACTTACTGAAACTAAGAAGGCTGACTCTCACAGGCACTTATCACCCTGAAACTTTTCTGTCCCTCTTTTCTCCCCTTACTCCTCAAACCTCCGCTAATTTTCCCACTGACCTCAAAACGGTTTTGCCGGGTTGGGATGTCCACTGCTGTTAAGTCAGCCAAGGATCTGAATTGTGCATTGGTGTGATCCCTGAGGAAGGTCAGCACTGGGATGATGCCATCAGGATGGATACAGATCTCTAATTCATTGAAGCAGGACACCTGCAAGCATAGGATGGAGAGAGGAAAGGGAACAAAGAGCTCCCAAGAGAGAAGCTAACTTCAGTTGGAATCACCTAGTTTAAGCCTAGGTTTGGGATGGCGAAGTCTGTGGCTTCTTTGAAACCACGTGCCCTGAGAAGGTGGTTCTTTCTTGTCCCAAAAACCAAAACCAAACCTGTTGCCATTGAGTCGATTCAGACTCATGGCGACCAAACGTGTTACAGAGTAGAACTGTTCCATACAGTTTTCTTGGTGATAATCTTTATGGAAGCAGATCACCAGGCCTTTCTTCCACAGCACTGCTGGGTGGGTTTGAACCACCCACCTTTAGGTTAGTAGTCAAGTGCAAATCATTTGTGCCACCCTGGGAGATTTTCTTGATCCAGACCAAACAATAGTAGCAAATATTACCTGAACTTGTTGGACATACTTGGGCAGGATTTCAGCCACATACTCTCCAAAAGCTGAAAGCTGCTTGTGGGCCACGTCATTCCGTGGTCTGACAGTGGCTGGAAGAAAAAGGCATATTTAGCAAAAGAATGGAGGTGGCATTAGCCAGCCCTGCATCCAGTCTCTACGGCTCCCTGCAGAACCTTGACAGAGGCATGAGGTGAGGGTAGGGGCAGTCTTAAGCCTCAGGGAACAGGAACTGATGAAAATTTGGGAAAAATGTCAGCTAAACTACACAGTCCACAAAGACTCACCTTATTACTGCACCTGGGGTATTTGTCCCTTCTCTGAACTACTATGGTGGTTCTTCCTTCACACTGCCTGCATTTGTGCTAAAGCAGCAGATGTTCTAGTTCTACCAGACTACATGCTCCTGAAGGGTGGAAACCAGAACTTTTAATTCTGTCTCCTTAGCACTTGGCTCATAGTTGGTTCTCAAGCGAAGAACGCCATGGCTGAAGAGCCCTCATAGATTATCTAGTTGAAATAATTTTCTGTATCAATGAGGAAACTGAAGCCCAGAAAGGGGGAGATGCCAGATATCCTGACTTCCAGTCAGCTTATGTTGACTGTAACATAGTATCTCTATACATTCACTCCAGCAACCCTAAATCACTGAACACCCACACATCACAGGCCGCAGAGCAATGGTGAAGCATTCTCTGGTTTTGGACACAGGCAGGCCTGGGTTCCAACAACAGCTCTATCACTAGTTCTGTGACTGGACAAATTACTTCTCTGGACTGTATCCTGATCTATATAAAATGGGGATCAAAATGCCATCTACCTCATAAGGTTATTGTGAGGATTAAATAAGATCATGCATTAAAACGCTTGGCAAGGTGCCTGGCACACAGTAGGCACTCAAGGTGAACTATTATTACGGAGCGCTGGGACCAAAAGGTGATGCTTCCTACTCTCAGAAGGCTGAAAGTTTATTCAGTGAAAAGGGGAATCATGGAAACGGTCGACGAGCTATCAGGGCCATGACAGAGAGACCTAAGGGCACAGGGAGGTCCCGATTCTGCATGCAGAGTGAGGACCATTGCAATCGGAACGCCAAAGACAAGCAGGGATTTGCCGAGAGGGCGGGCAGAAGGGTATCCTGGACCAAGGGTAATGGCAAACATCTGACGAAGGGAATGAATGGGTCCCTGCCAGTTGTCTCGAGAAGAGTGCGGCCGCACATACTCACGGCGCGTGTCGGCTGTGGCGCTCTCTCTCCTCACAGGCAGCAATAGTGCCGAAGGTCGCACGACTCCTGCACGGGGAGACAAAGGCACAGACGCGCGGGGTGAGGCCTGAGGGGCTCCCTACGCTGGGCGAACCGCAGCTTCTGTCCCCAGTTTCAGCCAGCTGTCCCCTGCTCACCCCGGGCCAGTGCCGCGGCCCCCACGAGCCCCCGCCACCAGCCCCTTGCCGCCGCCATGTTCCCCGGATGCAGACCCGGCAGCTGAGGAAAAGCCGGCAGGCCACGGAGCCCCAAGGACACGGACCGGAAGCGGAAGTGTCTAGCGGATCTTCTTCCGGGCGGACGCAGAGGGCCGGAAGCAGAGGTTCCGGGTTCCGGCCTCCGGGATGAAAGGAGGGAACGCAGGTGAGAAAGCGAGACGGGCAGGTGGGGAAATGGTGTGGTAAACGCAGTGCTAGCTCGATGTGGCGGAGGCTGGAGATAAAGCGAGGACCCTAAAGAACCGGACGGGTGAGAGGAGGGGAAGGAGCAAGGATTCTGAATTCTACGTTCCGCTCCCCTCCCCCCTCGCTCCTCCAGCGAAGCTTCGGGCGAGGGGGCGAGTATGACGGGAAAGAACGGTTTCCTTGGCAACCGTTTCCCAGGCGACTCCGGGTGGAGCGGGAACACTCTACAGGGCGATGGGCGTCCTCGTACCCCGGGCTGGGGACGGCTGGGCTCTGTCTCGAGTTCTGGGACGCAGCCTTGGGAAGTCATCAGAGCGAGCGGGGAAGCCGGGGGATAGAAGCTCAGAAAAGAGAAAATGTGGGGCTGCCAGATGTCTCAAGCCAAGCCTCTTAGTGAAGGATCTGGACTCCATGAGGAGGGGAAGAGAGGCCCTGGCCACAAGAACGTGGGGTCTTTTTTGCCTGATTCTGCTGCCCTCGAACCTCAGTAGTTTTCTGCCGATAGTTATTTGGTTAGTAAGACTTTAAGAATGTAGGCCTCCTCCAGTATCTTGCTTTTATGTGTTCACCTAAATCCCAAGTCTTTTGTTACATCATGGAAAGCAATGCTTCGCGTTTTCCCAGAGGAACACCCAGAGTAGGAACTTTTATTGATTTCATTGGGGGTGGGGTACCAGCGCAGGAGAATGAACACAGTTTTGGTTGAAGGAAAAGGTCAGGGACCTAATTGGCAGGGCCAGTACTAAGGTCAATCTAGTCCCGCTTTGCTCTCACTATTCCCTGCTCCCTCCTTCCTCCCTGAGTTGGACAGTTGAATTCACAGACTATGGTTGTGGATTCCCTAATTACTCAAGGGTGTTGCTTTGCAGACAGCTGGCAGAGAGAGAAGTCAGCCATCATGGAATCACCAGAGGAGCCTGGAGCATCCATGGATGAGAACTACTTTGTAAACTACACTTTCAGAGATCGGTCACACTCAGGCCGGGTGGCTCAAGGCATCATGAAACTGTGTCTGGAGGAAGAGCTCTTTGCTGATGTCACCATTTCAGTGGAGGGCCGAGAGTTTCAGCTCCATCGGCTGGTCCTCTCAGCTCAGAGCTGCTTCTTCCGGTCCATGTTCACTTCCAACCTGAAGGAGGCCCACAACCGGGTGATTGTGCTGCAGGATGTCAGCGAGTCTGTTTTCCAGCTCCTGGTTGATTATATCTACCACGGGACTGTGAAACTTCGAGCCGATGAACTACAGGAAATTTATGAGGTGTCAGACATGTATCAGCTGACATCTCTCTTTGAGGAATGTTCTCGGTTTTTGGCCCGCACAGTGCAAGTGGGAAACTGCCTTCAGGTGATGTGGCTGGCAGATAGGCACAGTGATCCTGAGCTCTACACTGCTGCCAAGCACTGTGCCAAGACCCACCTGGCCCAGCTGCAAGGCACAGAGGAATTTCTCCACTTGTCCCACCATCTGCTCACTGATATCATCTCGGGTAAGTTTTGGGAGCAAGCACTTCATACTGCCTACTTGGATATGATCAGAGGATGTTCTAGTTCAAGAGAATGGAGTTCTCAGGCTTCCTGGTGTTAGTTCCTGGTAGGACTTTAGATCCCTACTGAAAGAGGTTGCGTTGAGATTCAGTCTAGCTGCTGTCAGAGACAAGAGTGCCTTCCAGAGGAAAAGTCAGGAAAATAAAAGCAGTAGCACCTACCCACAAAAGATAGTGAGGAGCTTTTGTATTTATACTCTAATCTTTCTTGTGCATAAATGTTTTCATCTGTCCTGCACTTTGCAGGTACCTGTGGGACTAGTTACCCAAGCAAACTGATGATGAGTCAAGGTATTTAAATAAAAAACTTATATAGTGACGGGCCAATTTTAGGTGAGAATCTTGACACTAAAGGTGAGGCATAACCATACTGCAGTTGTGAGCTCTGAAGCCTAGTAAGTTGCTTCCATAGAAAATGCGAACATATCAAGCCGTCCGTTTTAATTAAAAGAGGCAAGAAACGAGGCAATTTAGGTTCGTGTTTTCATTTTATATATGAATATATTTTATATAATACATAAATAAAATAAATATTAAATAAATATTAAATATGTATGTTACATAAAATACAAATAATATATCAAAGTATACATATCTAAGTAAATTACAAATATAAACATTTAAGTGTGTGGGTGTGTATGTGTGTGTATTCCCTTTTGGATTGTCACTGGCCATTCCTTTCCTTTGGTTCTCACAGACGGAGTGCCATCTTCCCAGAACCCAACAGAGGCCATAGAAGCCTGGATCAATTTTAACAAAGAGGAAAGAGAGGCTTTTGCAGAGTCACTCAGGACTAGCTTGAAGGTAAGGCAGGTTTCTCAAGATTTAGGACCCTGTAATCTGCATGCATCCCAGCCATCAATTGGCCTGGACTCTTCTTTTATAGCTGGTAGAATAAATGGTCTGTGGCTTGAAGAATACTGAGCTGGGGAGGAGGTTTATGAGCCCAGAAGCCACCAACCTCTGAGCTTTAGAGCCCCTTTGAGAGAACTACTTTCATCATTGCATTCAGAGTCCTGAGTACCCTTTGTCTGAACCACCATCTCACGATAATTTAAAAAAGCTGCAGGGATGAGTGCAGTATTCTCAGCCGCAGCATAAATGCCTGCAAATGTGACTGGAGGAGAGTTGGGTTGACACACAGTAACTAGAGAGTAGGTTAGAGCAAGATACAAGTATGTGGTCCAGGACCTTTAGGATACGCATCCCAACTGAGCCTTAGCTTAGAATTGATAGATGTCAACTTTATAATTTTAATTTTGCCAACAGGAAATTGGGGAGAATGTGCATATTTACCTAATAGGGAAAGAGTCATCTCGTACTCACTCGTTGGCTGTGTCCTTGCATTGTGCAGAAGATGACTCAATTACTGTAAGTGGCCAAAACAGCTTGTGCCACCAAATCACTGCAGCCTGCAAGCATGGCGGAGACCTGTATGTCGTGGGAGGGTCCATTCCACGGCGCATGTGGAAGTGCAACAATGCCACTGTTGACTGGGAATGGTGTGCACCTTTGCCCCGAGACCGGCTTCAGCACACCCTGGTGTCTGTGCCCGGGAAAGATGCCATATACTCGCTGGGTGGCAAGACACTGCAGGATACCCTCTCCAATGCAGTTATCTACTACCGGGTAGGTGATAACGTCTGGACGGAGACAACCCAGCTAGAGGTGGCTGTGTCAGGGGCAGCTGGTGCAAACCTCAATGGGATCATCTACTTACTAGGGGGGGAGGAGAATGACCTGGACTTCTTCACCAAACCATCCCGACTTATCCAGTGCTTTGACACAGAGACAGACAAGTGCCATGTGAAGCCCTATGTGCTGCCTTTTGCAGGCCGCATGCACGCAGCTGTGCATAAGGATCTGGTGTTCATCGTGGCCGAAGGGGACTCCTTGGTGTGCTACAATCCCCTACTAGACAGCTTCACCCGACTCTGCCTTCCTGAGGCCTGGAGCTCTGCCCCATCCCTCTGGAAGATCGCCAGCTGTAATGGGAGCATCTATGTCTTCCGGGACCGGTATAAAAAGGGAGATGCCAACACCTATAAGCTTGACCCTGCAACTTCAGCTGTCACTGTCACCAGAGGCATTAAGGTGTTGCTTACCAATTTGCAGTTTGTGTTGGCCTAAGTCTGTTGGGGAGAGGAGGGAGAGCAACTGACTCCTGTGCCCTCCCCTTTTTCAGCACCTACCCATCCAAACTCAAAGTCCCTGGGCCCCAAATCAGAGTATTGTGTTATTTTCTGGCACGTATTGGAGAGGCAGTGCCTCAGCCCTTCCCCAAATCCATCATGGTGGTGTTTGGGGCTTTTTAGACTGCTGCTGCTCACCTGGCTGCTTGAACTGAGAGTAGGCCATCCTGTTCGCTGCCGTTCCCTGGTAACCCTGTGCCTGATTATAGACTGCTTAGAGAAAGCCTCTTCTCAGACCTAAGGCACAGCCCTCTCTCCTTACCTGATGAATGTTAGAAGCACCCCTGATCCCAAGACACAGAGAAAGATGCCCAATCCTACTTTTTTCTATAGTCTGCGAAGTGGCCAGTTGATCGTTTTTTTCACAAAGAAGTAGGTGTTAGAGTTTTACTTCAGGCCTTGGTTGGGAGAATGGACTAAGCTGAAGGTGTACTTCACCAGCAAGAGTCAACTCTAGAATTCAGGATGTTCCTTCTATTGTCTTCTTATCTATCAGGAAATGTATACTTTGGTTTTGTTTTTGGCTTAGACTCCATTCCTCTGTGAGGGGTATAAGCCAGAAAGTAGAAAGGATTATTTCTGATTAATAGCTGAAACTGTTTTTTCAAACTCGAATATATAAAGTGTCTGCTCTTTTAAAAGCTCTAAGCTAAGTCAAGAGCCAGCAACTGTTGATATAAATAAAAGTTTTTGAAGGGATATGTGTGTCTGTGTTGAATTCTGAAGGGGTGAATTCCTAAGGGAAACTAATCACACACCCACACCTTTCTAAGTCAGCAATACTGATTTCACCTAGTACTTCCTTTTCTACATACAAGATCACTGCTCCAAAAGTATAAGAGGAGCCCCCAGGGCCAGTGAAATCAGGATCCTGACAGTGGCAAAGGGCCGGGGCTGAGTATTTCTCCTCTTTTCCTAGGTTAAATATCTTCAAGTTTTGGTGATAAATATCATTAGGCACAACATTAGGTGCACAGTTTTTTTGTTGAAATTAATATTTCTTCAACCCCATTCACAAAAATAAGACACCCCCATCACTGGCCCATGTTCCTTACCGCATGAATAAAGGCCACGCTAAATCGCTCCTCTCTAGCCATTAAACAGTGTTATTTCAGGAAAATGAAACAAGACAAAGGACGCAAAATTATCCATTACTTAGCACAGTTTTCGTATGTCAAATCTTGGGTTAAGCCCCTCTGGTCCTGTTAAACTTTTTTATTCTGTAGCAAGCAGGATTGTCTTGAGTTCTAATCCATGTACTTCATGCCTTTCATGTGTGACTAGCCTCATTCTTTGCTGCCCCTGGAGTAATCTCCTTATAGAACTCTTTGAGAACTTCTAACTGGCCAGGTCTGACATGGATGTGTGGCCGGATTTTGGTGATGAATCTTACAGCCTCTTCTGGACTCCAGTTGTGTACCTGAAGGAGAGGGTTTGGAAATCAGAGAAAGGAGCAGGTGTTAAGGTGCCCTTGACCTATGAGCTGAACTATGTGCAGGTACTAAAGGGCTCCCAGAATTTCATTTTTTAAAAATTCTGTTTTCTTGGGAATCAAAAACCATGCCCCATGTATTATAAATGGAAGCGCACTTTAACCACCTCAGTCAACCAGTTCCACGATACTGTGCAATGGGCTGGGTAGACAAGCCAGTCTTTCTGCCCAATTCTTGCTCTGCCAAAGCCTGGGAAAAGAAGCTTGAACACACCAAGCTGAGATCCTAAGTTCCAGCCCACCTAGGCCTACTCAGTTTCCTCTCTGAGCTAGGCTGTTGGTTATAAGAGTTACCAGGAAAGAGTGTACAGCAGGTGTTTTTCTGCGACTTGTCACCATGGCTAAAAATAGAGTACTTTGTTATTTAATCAGGAGGGTCATCTGTGTCCTAAGGATACTCGTTGGTTTAGAACTCAATAGAACCAAAAAGTCACAGATTTCTAGCCCGCTGGTTCAATTCTCATTTGGTCCAAAATACCATCCTGGGACCCTGTTTCCAGCACAGAGTCCTTACAACCAGTGCCTTGGTGGTGTTCATACCATATACTTATCTGTCCACAGAACACAAACGAGGTCAAGCTGTTTATCTTTACATTTCCCTTTTCATTAAACTACCCACATGAAATAGTAAATGCTCTGCAGGTACCAGACAGGAAATGAAAATGAGTCAAGCTGGGTGGGGGTAAAACGAGTGGTGAAGGACTGAGGGCACATGCCTCTCCCAAAAACTCTGAAAAGCATGCCACCTGCCAATAATAATGTGATAGGCCAAATTCAGTTTGGATACTCTGTTTTAGAAACTAATGTCCAGAACTTTACTCTGAAATGCTTGAGAAACTCGAGTACTATAGAGCTGTAAGGGATCAGGATTATTATCTACAGTACTAGATTTCCGGACAGCTATTTATAACAGTACTTCTATCCTTTTGCTGATAATGAACAGCCTTCACAACTCCATTTTCTGAGTGACTGCTGGAGGCCAGTGCTTGACATACTTTCTCATTCAAGCTGAAGAACGCATTTAGTTTCAGGAAACAGCATCCGAGAGATGAAGCCACTTTTGCCTAAGGTCATACCACTGGCAGGTGGCAAAGCCAGAGGTCAGACTGTCTTCAAAGCTCAAGTACTTTCCACAATACCACACCACCTCCCAACAGCCTGAAACTGGGGGCACAGCTCCTTCCAGCAAGGCCCACTACTGGTAGACCATGCTACTAAAGTTCTAGAAATCTGTGAATGGGGCCAGCCCAGAAAGACTTTTCCTACCTGAATCAAATACGCTGCCACCATGGTGGCACTTCTGGAACGCCCAGCCTTGCAATGCACGTAGACACACTGGCCCAGTGACTGGTACTTGAGAACAAACTCGACTCCTTTCTGCAGGTTAGCTAAGGTTGGGACGCCAGTCATATCTACCGTGCTGAGCCGCAGCTGCTCAACTCCTACTTTCTTCCACTCCTGGAACCAGATCCACCGGCATAAAAAAAAGAATGCAAAAAGTCTGATGTGGGTACAAAGACGGGTTCCCAAGAGGCAGCAAAGCAGGGAAGCTTCAGGGTTTACTACAATTTGAGTATATGATATTTCCTGTTTTATAAAAAAGAAACTTCCTACAGAAATGCCTTTAAAATGGCTGACCTACATGGTTGGTCTTTCATCAAACAACTGTGCGCCGAGTTAGAAACATGTCTAAGATTTCAAGCGTTCTTCTGAAAGTCCTTTTGGGTATTTGTGTCTTTAGCTGAAAAAATATCAGCTGTATATAATTCAGCTGCAAAAGTTGTGTAACTGTGTGTTTTTGAGTAATCTTGGCACCTGTGCAAGGATCCAGCTGCAGGGTTGGGATACTGTATTTTCAAGGGCTTTCTATTTCTCTGTCCTTAAATCTCATTTTTTCCACTATTTTTGAGGGGATAGGTGGTTAAAAAAAAAAAAAAATAGGGCTACCATTTTACAATTAATGTAGACCTAACTTCGTTAGTATAATATCACTTAAAAAGAAGAATATAGGAGAAATAAGGTTTTTAGCAGACTGGACAACTTTATTTCTGCTTTAAGGCTTCGGATATGCTCCAGCCACTCTTGTTATTACATAATCTCTTTAGCTAGAAGCAGACATTATGACTTTATGATTCTGAATGAAGGCTAATATTTAACACTGCTCATGAAATTAACAAAAGAAATAAGAGTTTTACAGCAGGTGGCCCATGCATCAATTGTCAGAAACAACTGGGGAGCTTGCTAAACATTCAGATTCCTAGGCCCCATCCCAGAGTTTTCTGAATCAGAATCTCTGGTGCTTATGCCTACAAATTTACATTTTAACAAGACTGCCAGATAATTCTTAGGCACACTAAAATGTGAGAACCACAACCTTAGAGATTTCTTTTCTCTAGGCTAATTGAATGATAACAGCTGCAGCTTACAAATGTGAATGCCCCACACCTAGAAACCAAGCATTTTCTTTGAATGCCCAGTAGCTTTTGACTTCCCTTGCTCCACAAGACTCCCCACACTAATGAACAGTTACCACTTTGGCTAACTTCCTGAGGCCTTGTGGCAAAGTACTTTGAGAAATCCAAGGAACTGTAATCCATTCTTTAAAAATGTATGCCATGCCAAGGACCCAATAGATGGATCCTGATCAAAAGGAGGAAAAATGAGGAACAGAACTTCAAATTTTCATGGAAACCAGATTTACTGGAGCCATTGAGACTGGGTGATTCCCCTAACTGATTGCCTGGAAACAATTTTTAAACGTTGGACAGAAACTGTCCCACAAAGTCATTTTTAAACTAAACAACAGTTTAGCTCAATTAATAAAGAATGTTTCCTTGAGCATTGAGCTCTTTTTTAAAGAGTTATCTATATGAGATCAAATTGACAACAGTAATCCTAAAGATAGTGAGAATGGTAACACAATGTAACCTTTGTCATTGGGCTGCACATGTAAGAACTGTTAAAACAGTGTATGTTTTATTGTGTATATTTCCACCAAAAATTTAAAAAAAAAAATTTTAAATATATGCCATGCCTAAATTAGTATATTTTAAATGTGAATTGCAAGTATTTTTAAGGTTGCAAATGGATTGAAAGAATAGCATCTTGGGCAGGCTATATCAGTACAGTAAACAAGAAAGATAATTGTTACTTCCGGGCAACATGGCGCTATAGTCAGAAGCACCTCGCCGTCCCTCTGCAGCAAAGATCAGAAAAACTAAGTCAAACAGAGTCACACGGCAATCCTGAAACCCTAAGCATCAAATAAATACATGAAGAACTCAGCCAAGCACTGAATGGAATAAGAAGCTGACCGAGAACAGAGAGCGAGGAAATATACATGCAGAGGTCCCCTATCAGCTACTACAGCATGTATCTGCCATCTTGGACTCCTATCGGAGATCAGTGAATAGGGGGTACAAGAAAGCAGCTTCACGGAGCTTCCAGCAGGAGATGGAACAACGAGTAACCAACAATATAGGCTTTCCCACTGCCTACCCTTTTTCACCCTCACTTAGCCTCCTCTGCCTCCTGCAGCCACCGTCTCTTGGCCGGGAAGCACCAGCTTCACCCCTGTGTTACTTGGATTCTACCCGCGTGCACTGGTCAGCTCCCTGAGTGCCGTTTGTTGGCTGCTGGTGTTGCTTTTTTCCGCTTCTTTAGAGTTCTTCCTTACCTCTTACCACCTCCCACTCCTTTCTCTCAAATACCTGGCTCCGTGCACCATTTTTCCTTCTTCCTGAAAGACTGCGAAACACCGCTCCACTGTGAAACACCGCTCGACTGTGAAACTGCTTCCTGGCCTGTGCTGCCACGCTGGTGGGACCCCCAAGGCTTTTTTGTTTGTTTGTTTGCTCTGATTTGTTCTGTTTTGATTTGTTTTCTTTTTCTTTTATCGGCTTGGGAGCCCCTTCTAGCTGGGCAGTACTGTGCAGCTTGGGAGCTACTCCCTTACTCTGTGCACACACACATCCCTGGGGGCATTTCTTTCTTCTTTTTTTTTTTTTTTTGTTTGTTTCTTTGCTTTGTTTTCTTCTCTCTCTTATTCTCTTTTTGTCTTTCTTCATTTCCAGTTTCTCAGTTTATTCATTTTCTTCTTTTACCCTTTCTTTTTTTCATTTTTGTTTTTCCCCATTTCTCAGCTTCTCATCTCTCCACTCCAATAGCAAGCTCCCTTAGCACTCTTTTTTCTTTTTTTTTTTTTACTTGTACTTTAGGTGAAGGCTTACAGAAGAAATAGTTTCTCATGAAACAGAAGTACATGTTGTTTTATGAC